CCTGAGCTAACATCTGCCAATCCTCCTCTTTTTGCTGAGGAAGACTGGCCCTGGGCTAACATCCGTGCCCATCTTCCTCTACTTTATATGGGATGCCACCACAGCATGGCTCGCCCTCAGCTCTTATCACCTTCTAACATACCGTATCATTTACTTATTTATTCTGTTTATTTTCTGTTTCCACCCAATAGAATGCCAGTTCCATGAGGGCAAAGATGTTTGTCTGCTTTGTTCTCTATTGTATCCCAGCAGCTAGAAGAGTGTCTGCCCTGCAATAGGCACTCAGTACATATTTGTTGAACGAATGAATGTAGAATGGTTGGATAACTAGCAGTAGCAATACTATTTCTCCATGACTATTATTATTATTCTATCCTAAAAATCTAGAAAGCAAGTTAGGATATGGACGGGGGCTGCATGTACATTAACAACAAAATGTACACCCTTGCTCCTCAAAGTGTGGTCCATGGACCAGCAGCATCAGTACCACCTGGGAGCTTGTTAGAAATGCAGAATCTCAGGCCCCACCCCAGACCTCCTGAATCAGAATCTGCATTTTAATGAGACTTCCCCCAGGTGATTGATTGCAACTTAAAGTTGAAAAGCACTGTTGTTGAGCAGTGGTCCTCGACTTTAACTGTGTATTGGAATCATCTGAGTATCTTTAAAAACTGATGCCTTGGTCTCATTCCCAGAGATTGACTTATTTGGTCTGAAGTGGGGTCCAGACATGGGTCAGTGGTGAAGAGGTAAAGTGACTAACTTATTCATTATTTTGGGCTGGAGAGTTAAGATTAGAGACTTGTCCATCAAACCTTGGTATAGAGACATGATCAACCAGTCATCTTCACCTTATTCCATCACAGCAAATTTCAGCTCCTCATTTATGATTTCAAGTGAGACCTTCAAGGTGGCTGTTTCTTACAGAATGCACTCATGTCCACACTCAGACTGCCTTTGACATTCTGCACAGTAGGAAATAAACGCTGAGCAGTATGTCAGCCCCTTGGAGGAATGGCTCCTGCTCTCTTTTCCAGCAGGATCCAGTGAGCTTTGTGAGCAGAAAGCTCAGAGAATGAGGAGGGCTTCAGGGTCGGTCTCTGGGTGGCTGTGGGGAAGGCCCTGTCCACAAGATTCTAGCAAGCACAGGGGCTCAGGCTGGGAACCATCCCCTATCCTGCATCCTGACCCAGAGGGCTTATAGGCTTCAACTATTCAGACCTCTATGTGCTCCCACACCCACTGCCTGACAAGTCATTTCCTGGGTGGCTCCACTGTAAGGGTGGGGTTCAGACCTGACCTCTGAGTGTGAACCCAAACATGAGCCTTGATCATGAACTTGAATCTGAAGTTCAGCCCCCAAAGCTGCACAATAGAAAGATGTGGAAGCATGATAGAGTGGCAATGGCTGACTGACCTCAGGAAAGTTTCTGGGGAGGTGTAGAGAGCATTTCCAGATTTTCATTGACCAAGTGGGCTCTCTCTTGCAGCTCAAGTCTCGTGTTCTCATGACTCCTTTAGCCCTCTCACCTCCTCGGAGTACGCCGGAGCCCGACCTCAGCTCTGTCCCTCAGGATGCGGCCACCGTCCCCAGCTTGGGGGCCCCTCAAGCTCTCACAGGTGGGTCACATGAATTAACTCCAGGGCTGTGATGGCCTGCCCATCATCTATTGGTCACTCTGTGAACTAGAAGGACTTAGTGTGTTAACTAGATAGTGGATAGGATGACCAAATTTCTCTGAGAACATGAGTTTGTGTCTCACAGCTTGGATTATTTGAAACTTGTTTTTCAGTGCCCTTGAGTTCAGCCGGTTGCCTTGGGGTAGAACTAGAAAGAGTGGTTGGTGGCCCAGTTCTTTCTTTTCAGAGCCAGGTTTACTTTTTACCAATAGCGAGCCTGCTCACCTTGAAGTGTTTCCATCCCTGTGTTTGTACTTCCAGATCTCCTAAGGATCCTAATCTCCCTTAATCCCACCTGGTGCCCTCCAATCCAGTCAGAGTAGAGCTCAGCTCAGTCTCTCTCATGGGACGTCCACCAACCAACGGTTCTATCATAAGAGTAACAGCAATCGGATGGTGTCTCTCTCTCTCTCTCATACACACACACACACACACACACACACACACACACACGGTCACCCTCATCACAAACCGCCACCCACTCCCATCCCACTTAAAACCCTTCAGTCCCCTCTCGTTGCTCTTAGGTAAAGACCAAACTTGTTAATATGCCCGACAAGGCCCTGCAGCTCACTGCTCTCCTGTCAGTCCCTAGGGCTCCCCACAGGATTCTTAGCATATTCTCTTCCCTCCATCTGGAATGATCTTCCCTCTGGTCACCCTATTCCTTCCATGCATCTCAGCTCAGGCCTCCCTCCCTCCAGAAAGCTTTCCTGCCAGGGTCCCCAGGATGGGCTCTCCTAGCACCTCCCCAGTGTTTCTCGCAGCCATGGTCCCACGTCACTTCCTATGATTCTTTGAGTGTGTCTGCCTCCCCTCCCCTAAGTTCTGTGAAGCCAAGGACCATGTAGATTCGGTTCACCATTTTCACTGTAGGGCTGGCACAGTACCTGGCATGAAGGTCCCTTATTAGTTAGATTTTCCTCAATCATCTGGGATGAGTGGAAAGAGCACAGACCTTGACATCAGAAAGACTTGAGTCCAAATTCCTGTTGCACCACTAATTACAGTCTTCATGAGCAGCCATCCAACCACTTTAAGCCTCATTTTCTTCACTAGTAAAGGAAGTAATAATTCCCAGGCTTGTCTTGAGAATCAAACAAGATAAAATATATAAAGTAGAATAGAGTAGGTGCTCAATAAAAACTAATTTTCTTCACCTTTGTTGTCACTGTTTAATCCTTCCAAAAGGCTATTAGTCTCCTCTTACAGACCCTCTTCAACCCTCATCCTGTTGAATGAGGACCCCCCCAAGGCAAGATGCTCATTCCCTGGGGTGGGGGTAGAGGGATACATAAGAGGAGCCATTAACGTACAGAAGGAAATATTTTTATCTCATTGTATAAAACTTTCTGTCTCTTGGTTATGTTTTAAAATGTATGCAATACATTAATACAGTGATGAACGTGTATAACCTATAAATAAATAAACACATTTTGGGGCGTGTGCTCAAAAATTTTTTCCCAATGGGGTATATTACTTTGAAAGTGTGGGGAAAATTGGTTGGGCTCATCTAAATGGGCACCTGAGTGTTTATTTTCTGAGATTGTAAATAGCACTCTGTTTAGAGTTTCATTGAATGTATAGTCTTTGGAGTAATCAGCATCATCTTAATTTTTTTATTCACCAAAGGTTAACAAAAAACATGGCAAACATTATGTGTAGCTTGACAGCTCCTTTGGAGGAGAAGGGAAGATTTTGTGTGTGTACACGCACAGCATGGAAATACATTTATACACATGGTCCACATGGGCCTCCACAATTGTCTACAATTCAGATTATACATCAGAGGGGACCCATCTGTCTGTTTGTTCCCAACCAGGAGGCTCTTTTGAGAGCAAGCCCTAGCAGTTGGGGGTGATTGGCTCTTTTGCCTCTTTTACTTCTTAAATTGGGAAGAATCAGTCCCACTTTTGGCCTTTCTTAGCTTTCCCAAGGCCAAGGCCAAGGGGCATGGCTGAGGCACCCACCATGCACACAGGAGCAGCCTCCTGGCCTGATGTGTGTCCGATGCTGAGGGCTCTGTGGGTTTCTGTTTCCACAGTCTGCCTCTACATCAACAAGCAAGCCAACGCAGGGCCATACCTGGAGAGGAGGAAGGTGCAGCAGCTCCCCGAGCACTTTGGGCCTGAGCGGCCCTCGGCGGTCCTGCAGCAGGCCGTGCAAGCGTGCATCGACTGTGCCCACCAGCAGAAGCTGGTCTTCTCCCTGGTCAAGCAGGGCTATGGTGGCGAGATGGTGTCAGGTAAGGCCCTGGGGCAGGTTGTATGTGGAGGGCTGTGGGCGTCTCTCTGAAGGGGAAAGCAGCCATTATTGGGCTTGGGAGACAGTGGTTGTGGCCAGGGTCTGTCTTCTATCTGCTGGGTTCCAGGAGCCTTAGATGAGCCAGTGTGCTGAAGGCCTCTCACAGGACTTGAGGAGAAGATTATTCCAGACCTGGACAGGAAGACTGGACATCCGAATCCTCACCGTTAACTCTTCTTTTTCTCCCACCCCCACTTCCAACCCTTCAGTAAATCCTACTGCTCTAACTTCAAAATACATCCAGAATCCAGCTACCTTTCATTACCCGCAGCAACCACTCTGGTTTTTTAAAAATCTAAGTCAGATTACGCCCCTCCTCTTCCCTAAACTCTCAGTGGTTCCCATATCACTCTGAGAAAAAGCCCACTTTTTTTTTTTATTGATGTCTTAATAGTTTATAACATTGTGAAATTCTGGTTGTACATTTTTGTTTATAAATTTATTTTTTTTAACTTTATTTATTTATTTTTCCCCCCAAAACACCAGTAGACAGTTGTATGTCATAGTTGCACATCCTTCTAGATGCTGTATGTGGGACTTGGCCTCAGCATGGCCAGAGAAGCAGTGCATCAGTGCGCGCCCGGGATCCGAACCTGGGCCACCAGCAGCGGAGCGCACACACTTAACCGCTAAGCCACGGGGCCGGCCCATACATTTTTGTTTATCGATCACCATATAAATGCATCCCTCCACCCCTTGTGCCCACCCCACACCCCCCTTGCCCCTGGTAACCACAATACAGTTTTCTCTGTCCATGTGTTGGTTTATATTCCACATACGAGTGAGATCATATGGTGTTTGTCTTTCTCTTTCTAGCTTATTTCACTTAAAGTAATACCCTCCAGGTCCATCCATGTTGTTGCAAATGGGATGATTTTGTCTTTTTTATGGCTGAGTAGTATTCCATTGTATATATATACCACATCTTCTTGATCCAGTCATCAGTCTCGGGACACTTGTGTAGCTTCTACTTCTTGGCTGTGGTGAATAATGCTGCAATGAACACAGGGGTGCATAAGCCTCTTTGGATTGTTGATTTCAGGTTTGTTGGATAGATTCCCAGTAGTGGGATAGTTGGATCATAGGGTATTTCTATTTTTAATTTTTTGAGGAATCTCCATACCGTTTTCCATAGAGGCTGCACCAGTTTGCATTCCCACCAGCTGTGTATGAGGGTTCCCGTTTCTCCACGTCCTCTCCAACATTTGTTGTTTTTTCTCTTGGTGATTGTAGCCATTCTAACGTGTATGAGGTGATATCTTAGTGTTGTTTTGATTTGCATTTCCCTGATGATTATTGATGTTGAACATCTTTTCATATGCCTATTGGCCATCTGTATATCTTCTTTGGAGAAGTGTTCATTTTCTCTGCCCATTTTTTGACTGGGTTGTTTGTTTTTTTGTTGTTTAGTTGTGTGAGTTCTTTATACATTGTGAAGATTAACCCCTTGTCAGAAATATGTTTTGCAAATATTTTCTCCCAGCTGGTGGGCTGTCTACTCATTTTGATTCTGGTTTCATTTATCTTGTAGAAGCTCTTTAATCTGATAAAGTCTCACTTGCTTATTTTTTCTTTAGTTTCCCTAGTCTGAGTAGGCATAGCATCTGAAAACATTGCTTTATGACCAATGTCAAATAGTGTGTTGCCTATATTTTCTTCTATGAGTTTTATAGTTTCAGGTCTCACCTTCAGGTCTTTGATCCATTTTGAGTTAATTTCTGTGAATGGCGATAGCAGATGGTCCACTTTCATTCTTTTGCGTGTGGCTGTCCAGTTTTCCCGACACCGTTTATTGAAGAGACTTTCCTTTCTCCATTGTATGTTCTTAGCTCCTTTGTCGAAAATTAGCTGTCCGTATATGTGTGGTTTTATTTCTGAAAGCCCACATTTTTATAAGGGCCCACAGGCCCTATATGACCTGGTCCTGGCTACCTCTTTGATCTCCTGGTCACTTCTCTGGAGTTCCCCACTCTGCTCCGGCCACAGTGGCCTCCTTGCTGTTCTTCCTGTATCCTCCAACCCTGCTCCTGCCTCAGGGTCTTTGCACCTGCTATTCTCTCTTTCTGGAATGCTCTTCCCCAGCTCTTGGACTTCCTTCAGGTTTCTACTCAAATGCCACCTATGGAAGAGCCCTTTCCTGACCATGCTGTCTAAATGTCAGCCTGGTCACTATCTATTCTCCCTCACTCTGCTCCATTTCTTTTTCATAACACTCATCACCACACAGGGCAGTGGGGAAAGCTTATGGTCTCAACCCTATCTCACAAGAGGCTTCAGGGTCAATCTCTTCTCCCCTTGTCACTGCCCTCCCCCAGTTTCAGCCCTGACCCAACAGCTTCCAGAGGGAGTGGAAGTTGTCACCCCGAGTGAGAGGCAGAGTTGGGAGCTCTTCCTTTTTCAAATATTGGCCCGCAGAGGCTCTGTCTGTGTTACCCCAGCTCTCTACACAGTGGTTGTCACCACCTGCCCTTAAGCCCTGGAGCACCAGGCCTTTGCAAGATGTCTTCATCCAAGGGCACAACCTAGTGTCTTCTCTGGCTCAGCATCATGGACACAGCCTCCGCATCACCAGGGAAAACGGAGAAGATTCCCCAGCAATGGGGCGGTATAGGCTACCCTGCTGGCTGGCTAAGAGAAGGTCAGGGGAGAGGGGCCTCTAACACAGCTGCGTCCTGAAGAACCAAAGCAGGCATTTTATTTAACTCCAGATCCCCAGGGCGTGGTGGTGGGGAGGTTGTCCAACACAGCTTCCCCAGCTCTGACTGATCCAGCCCACCTTCTGGAGCTCCCTCTGAGCAGGAAGCTGGGTCTGACTTGCTGGTGATTGATTAAAATAGAATTTGGCAAGGTCCGGGTGCATGTGTCTGACCCAGGGTGGCTTTTAAGAGACTTTAGCAGATGCAAGCAGAGACGAGAGGAGGAAGGACTGCACCAAGAGAGGCCAGGAGGAGAGTCCTGTTTCAGCCCCTCTGAGAGCCCCTTGGCCGTTCTTCTCCTGGTTTCTGTCTGGGAGCCAGGTTCTCGGTCCTGGGCTGCCCTCTGAGGTAGAAGGCCTTGTCCTTTTCCTTGATGAATAGCAGGGCTCAAGACACAGACCTGGTGCTAGAGAAAGCTCCTCCTGCGCTGTGTGCCCACCCTCTTGAGGGAATCCCATCTAACCAAGTTCTTTATGGCCCTGCCCCTTAAGCCGGAGGAGCTGACCCCGTTTTCCCTGCTCTCTTGCTCAGCCCTTCTGTGGGCTCAGGGGCCTTGGCACTGGGGAGGAGGTTCTGCAGTGCCTGGCACCAACACAAGAGTGGGCAGAGCCCTGCCAAATTTCCCTTGGCTGAGGAATTCCCAGGAAGGCCAGAGCTGAGCACTTGGCCTCAGCGTCTTGGAGAATGCAGTAGCCCTGAGGGGGCTCCTCGTGCCTTCTCCTTGAGGTCACGAAGTGGCAAGGTGGCTTTCATGTTACTGATGGTCGTATGGAAGCTCAGCAAGGCTCTGATGGCACCAAGGTGGTTTGGGGAGGGACTCAAGGAGAAACAGTCAGATTCCCACTCTCCACCTGGAACCTGATCCCTAGAGCACAGCTTTCCAAACATTCCCAAGGCACAACACACAGAAAATGGTGACATTGGTGCTGGCACCATGGGCTAAAGGAGCCAAACTGCTATGGCTGGGCCGTGGGCCACCCCAAGGGCTGAGGGGAACAGTCTCGCAGTACCCTAGAACCCACTCCCAGCATACCTGTTGAGATGCTCGGCCTTAGCCACACTCTCCCAGAGGGGTACACTTTACGATCTCACAAATTCCATGTCTGCATCCGGGAGGTGGAACTTTCCCACTTATGTGATCTTCCAGGCACCTCTGGGACTGTATGCACAATGATTTGTGGGACAGGCCTGATGCCCCAGACCCTCCTGCTGTGGGTTCAGTCTCCATCACACCTAGTCTTTTAAGGTATCAGAGTCAAACAGCAGTGCCCATACTAAGAAGGAATTTCCAGAGTGTCCAAGTGGCCAGGATGACCCCCTTAGTGAGCATCTTGGCCTGTCTTCGCTGGCTCTCCCAATCAGAGTCACGTGGAGTATTAAAATGACAGGCAGTGCCAAGTAGAGGCCACATGAGCTGGAAAAACCACTGCAGGCCCTCTTCTCAGATTCCTCATCTGTAATACGGGGTAAGGACCTTTCTGTCCACTGTCCTCATAGCATGGTCAGAAGGCTCAAATGAGGTCATGGGTGTGAAAGCTCTTGTCAAGCTATAAAAAGCTACAAAAAAGAAATGGATTCTTTCAATTCCTAATTAAAATGGGTGTTGCTTTTTTTTTTTTTTTGGTAAGGAAGACTGGCCCTGAGCTAACATCCATGCCAGTCCTCCTCTATTTTGTATGTGGGATGCCTCCACAGCATGGCTTGATGAGCAATGTGTAGGTCTGTGCTCAGGATTCAAACTGGCAAACCCCAGGCTGCCAAAACTGAACACATGAACTCAACCACTACGCCACCGGGCTGGCCCTGGGTGTTGCTTTTTGTTTAGTTTTTAAATCAAATCTAGCTCTGGTGGCCCCTGCCCCAGCCCCTGCCGTGTGCCAGCCTTTGGGAGATACAATGTAAAAAACCACGCTGCCCTCTGGGTGTTGACACTGAGTGGCAGAGGCCTAGGTGGGAACAGAGTGTCCTGTTTGGGATCTCCTTGTGTGTTCTCACACTGGAGCAGATGTGCAAGCTTCATGGGGTGAGAGAGGGCTGTGAGGAGAGTTACAGAAAGAAGCATGCTGGAGGAAACTTGTGTCTCTTCTAAATTCTGGTAACCCTACAGAAATCGAGTTTGTTAGCATCACTTTGTAGAGATTATTGTTCTTTTATAGACTCCTCCCCAAAAGGATAGCGTGAACCCTGAACTCTGTGATGCTGGATTAGAGATGGAGACCTAAGTATGAACTCAGGTTTACTTGAATACACCTATATATCTAGATCTTGACTTATCTATCTGAATCTAGATCTATCTACTGATCTAGATCTATCTATTGATCTAGATCTATCTATCTATCATCTATCTATCTATCATCTATCTATCTAATCTATTTAAATCTAGATAGATTGATCTAGACAGAGAAATAATTATAATGAGATAGTATACATACATACATTTCTTAGCTCTCTGCACTGAAAGGGCCTCGAACTACTGATATCCCAGTAGCAATGAGCACATCCGGTGCCCAAATCTTGGTTTCTAAATATCGCTTTTCAATAAAAGGAACCAGGGCTGTGGGGGGAAATGGCTGATTTTAGGGCTGGGTCAAGGAAAATACAAGATGAACCTGGAGCATATTGAAGTGTCAGTAACCAAAGAGTTGCTAAAAAAACAAAAATTGGGGCATGTCACAGGGACACAGGAGTCAACCTGAAAGCTCCCAACGACACAAGCTGGAGCAATTTGAGCAACAAAATAAATAACACAGTATTGGATACCCCACGGCACAAAATGCATATGTTGGATCTGTACTGATATTAGTAAATGATTGAATAAATAAATAATTAAATGGAGGAGAAGAGACAATCCTTCCTTAGAAGAATTCTAAATGATACAGAAACTCTCCCCTCTCCAGGAGGTAGAGCTTAATCCTTCCACTGCCTTGGGTGTGGGCAGGACCTTGTGACTTATTTCCAGGGAATAGGATATGGAGAATGCAGTGGAAATGTGGCAAACACTATCTTGGCCAGGTGATGAAGGTCCATATCCCAGTGGTGTCATGTGGATATCACATACCCCTAATCTGATGCGATGAGAAGGGCACTTCACCTCTGTGGTCTGCCTCCCAAAAAACCCTTAACCCCAGTCAAATCATGAGAAAAAGATCAGACAAACCCAAATTGAGGGACATTTTACAAAATAGCTGAGCCATACTCTTCAAAACTGTCAAGGTCATGAAAAACAAGGAAAGACTAAGAAACACTCACAACCCAGAAGAGACTTAAGGAGACGTGACAATTAAACCCAACGTGGTCTCCTGGATAAGATCCTGGAAGAGAAACAGGACATTAGTGAAAAAACAGATGACATCCAAATAAAGCCCAGTTAAAAACAAAACAAGACTGAACAAACAGAAACCTCCTCCCTGAGGCCGATGAACTATGGTTTTCTCCAGTGCCCTGCTCTGAGTTGCTGTCTCTGTGGTTTTCCAGTCTCGGCATCCTTTGATGGGAAACAGCACCTGCGGAGTCTGCCCGTGGTGAACAGCATTGGGTATGTCCTCCGATTCCTCACCAAACTGTGCCGAAGCCTCCTGTGTGACGACCTCTTCAGCCACCAGCCCTTCCCCAGGGGCTCCAGTGCCTGTGAGGAAGCCCAGGAGAAACAGGAGGGCAGGATGGAGTCAGGTAGGCTTTGTCCGTCTGTCTTCCTGTGCCTGCAGGTGGCCCTGCCTCCTGGGGGCGGGTGAGACTGCTGCTGCAGGGGTGGCCACAGCTCTTGGCAGGTCTCCTGCTGGAGGCCCACAGCTGCCTCTCTGGGCACCCGGGAAGCAGTCAGGGCTGACCAGGACCAAGGATACCTAGACTGTTCCCACCCAGGCTGCAGTGGGAAGAGATCGCTCCAGCTACTGAGAGCCGACATTCTAGTTTGAGCCCTGTGTTATTAGAATTTAGACAATGAGACCACATTGCGTATGGTGAGTGATTTTCTTCACCCTCCTCTGATTAGGACTCTTAGGCACTTATTCATCATTGTTGAGTAGTTGAAAGACTATGAAACTAAGGAACTAAGAAATCCTAAGGAAACTAGGGCTAAGGAACCAATTACATTGGTCCTGCCTGGAGGCCTCAGATTCTTACCCATGTCAATCAAAGGTGTCTATTACTGCAGGAATTTGACCAGGCCATAAATCAGATATGTCTTCCAGTAAGACTTAGTGTTTCTCTCTCATCACAGCTTGGAAGGTGACCCAGGGGCTGAATGCCTTTTGTCCCAACAGCCCCAGAACAGCTCCGCATAGGAAAGTGGCCAGTGGGAAAGGCAGCAAGGCCACGTGGACAAACCTGCCACAGCGTTGTGGGCCCAGGGGGCTAGATGCCGACAGTAGGCGCTACTTCCCCATTTGGCAGCCCTGAGTTATGGATTTGCAAAGAGTTGAACATGACTCCAGGTTCTGGATTCCAGATTCTCAAGGATGAGCAGAAATGTTGCCTTTTTTCTTTCTCTGGAAGCAGTGTTGTTGATATATAAAGAACATATAGGGGCCGGCCCCGTGGCTTAGTGGTTAAGTACGCACGCTCCGCTGCTGGCGGCCCAGGTTCGGATCCCGGGCACGCACCGATGCACCGCTTCTCCCGCCATGCTGAGGCCGCATCCCACATACAGCAATTAGAAGGATGTGCAACTATGACATACAACTATCTACCAGGGCTTTGGGGGAAAAAATAAAGAAAGAAAATTATTAAAAAAAAAAGCGCACAGACAATGAAATTAGAATCTAGTCGTTATGTGATTCTGCAAACATTGGCTGAGCCCTCTTCTGTTCCAAGCACCGTATGAGATCCTATCTTGGGATAAGACAAACACATGAGCTTAGGAAAGTTTTTGAGGTATTGCGTGACCATTATGAATAATGAAAAACTGATACATTTGCAGGTGTGTGCTCACAGACAGGCTTAGAGCATTCAACAAAAGGATACTTATAATCAGAGTGGCTCTATCTTAAGCCTAGGAGGATAGCAGGGAAGGATAAACTTAGATTCTTAGCATAGATTTTCTCAGATACTGTCAATAATCTTGTCTACAATTTTACTTTAATCTCTCTGAGACCTGGGAAACAGGAAGAAATTTGGACTTTACAAAGACAGGTGCCTATTTAAATATGGTCTGGGTGAGCAGATGCTGTACATCTCTATGCTTTTTTGTTGATTTCTCTATATATGTGAGCTTGGAAAAGTCTTCTCATCTCTCCAGATGTCCGTTTCCTAAACAAGGGGTTGGAGTTGCTCATATATAATGTTCCTTCTGGTCTGACAGTCTATGAATCTGGCCTCTCTTGTAAACCTTAGTTGACTCATAGACATGTTCTAAAGCTAATGTATCTTCTAGTGAACCTTGCAATGAGAATAGCAGAATGGTCTGATTTCACTTTGCAAACTCTTGAATCATTGTTCTGTTGAACAAGCAATGACCCATGGGACATAATCACAAAGCCACATAATTCATGTCTCCCATTCTCTTTTAAATGTATCCTGAGGGACCACTTCTTCCCTGTTCATGGATGAAATTTAGGACAAATCTTGTGACTTTTCTGGCTCCTTTCAGGTAACAAAATATTCTCTAGTCAATAATTAATATGTCCAGGTCGGTGTGATAACCAAACTTTAAATTTCATTCAAAGATGTAACTCTCCCCATTCCCAGCTCCGACTTGCTTCAGGCCAGTCCCTGAAGCAGTAAAGGAAGGCATGATTGGCTTCCCTCCACCCTCTGCCCAATCTTGTGTTTTTGCCCCCTCCCATACCTGGCTAAGAATGGTTTTGAATCCTTCAGGATCAGAGTAGGGGAAGGAGGAGAGGCCAGAGGTAGGAGAATTTTTATTTGACTAATCCCACCGTGAATTGGCATCATGCCCCTTGGTTCTGGCAGGTGTTTAAAGCTGATTCTTCGTCCTGTGGCTCTTACACAGGTCCTTTGGTGATCGACCATCTCTCCCCTGCACTTGCCTTGACATGGACAAGTGTAACTCTTCGCTGGCTGGTCACTTACGATTCCTTTCACATTCTCAAGGCATCTTTGGGTAAATCTCTAGCTTCTTTCTGCTGAGCCCCCATTGTGCCTCTAGATGGTCCTGTGGAAAGGATTTAAGATTATCTCTCCTCAGCTCTCTCTTCTGATAGCCCACATCTGGTCCCTGAGAAACACTCACACATCCTTTGCTCAAAAACTCTGGGCACAGAAGCCAATCCCTGGAGGCACCTCTCCTTCGTTCTGCCATCACAGCAGCCAGACTTTTAGATTTCTCATGGGAAGCAAACAATAATCCATTGTGTCTCTCAAGCTCCAGGGACAGATATCAAGATATTCACATGGCCACATGGAAGCCCTTGGGAACACACTAGACAGTTCTCTCCATAATTCGTATTCTAGTCAACCTGTTTCTCAACCTCTACATGTTGTTTTGCAGGCTGGACGTGGGTGGTCATCTATAGGTGTAAAACCAGCTTTCCACCATCTCTTTTTGCAAGATCTGCACACTTCACTCTGCTATGGGGTGTCTATTGTCTTGCAGCCTCAGCCAAAACTGAAACTGAAATAGTTGCATTTTAACATCCTGTCCTGAGCCCCCTTCAGCTTTCCTTAAGTGATCACTGAGCAAACTCTTGCCTTAGTTTCCACCTTCTTCTCTCCCCTTCCAAGCTCACCATGCTGAATGAAGTTCTAGTCTTTTCCTTGGAGTAGTTGCCTCACTTCTTCCCTTGACTGAGGCAGGTATTTCTACCTGAAAGCTGGTTTCCTTCTTAGTTGGCTTGGCTTTGGAAGTGATGACTCCAATTGTCTTCATGAGCTCTTCCCTCGCCCATGGCTGCTTTAAAAAAACGAATTGCTCCAAACCAACCAACTGTGTGGAAATCATTCCTCATGCCCTGGGTGTGGCAGAACCGAGTGCTGTGTGTTTCATGTGTCCGAGGATCCTCAGGGAGGGTGGAGGAAGCAGCTATGGCATGTATGCTCTGAGTGGCCCCCTTGCCACATGTCTTTCCCACCAGTCTACCATGAGACCTAAAATGACGTTAGGAAGTTTGCCTTTAGAGTAAGACACTGCCTTGTCAAAGTTCCCTTAAAGGGTAACACATCAAATTATGAATCCTTTGGTGAGGAGTTAGTTTACCACCTGCTTTCCCACCACTGTGACAAGAAAAGGCACATGTATTTATAAGAGAAGGAGTGGAGGTCTTTGTTGATTTTACGCCTCATATGCATCCGTAGGACCTCGTCGTAGCTAGACAAGATTTTATGGTCTTGAGCTCATTTGAACCAGGTCTTGCTCTGCCGCAAAGTTGTTCAGTCAAAGCTAGAGTGTTCCAGGCCTGGTGCCCCACAGTTAGAGGGTTTGTCACTACTCATTAGAGCATTTCCAGAAGACAGCTCATCAGACAATAAGAAAATGCAAAGCCATGGCATGTAAGGAACTATCAAAGAAACTATGATGTTTGTGGTCGAAAAATGGATGATTTTGGGAAGACATGATTTTTTGTTCCAGTGTATGACAGCAGACCCTGTGGGTTTGTTCTCTGTGGTCCTGAAGGTAGATCTGATGAAACCTAAGGTCTTGCCACTCAAACTCTGGTCAGGAGCATTGTCCTCACCTGAGAAAGGCAAAAGCTCAGTGGCCCTCTCACACTCTTTAATGGATCCAGGTGTTTGGAAGACACATTAAAGTTTGAGGAGCATGGATTTAAGGAATACTTTCCCAGGTAGAGAAGCTGAATAGCCAGGTGGAACTCTCAGAAGATAGCTCCCTCAGGAGTCAGGTGGCATTGATACTGTAAAGAACTTTGAAAAGTCAAAGCCTTTCAGAAGCAGAAGGGGCTGCTTGGGTGGTAGTGATCTCCCCGTCATTGGGTGTCCACTTGTCAGGGCCATTGGAGGAACTCTGACAACCAAGAGTAGTTGGAGCAAGTAGGAGCAAGATGTCTTCTCTGGTCCCTTCCAGGCTGAGAGTCGCGGCTGGAGGTGGCAGAGGACAGCCCTGGACAGCAGGAGGTCAGAGAGCCCCAGGAGCCCCAGCAAGGGGCCCCCTAGTGGTGAAGGTGAGGATACCAAGACAGAGGGGCTCTCGTCAGAGCAGAGAGAGGGCTTCTTCCAAATCTCTTCCTCAGACCTTTGAAATATAAACACACCAAATGATCTTTCTCCTGTGTCCAGGGAAAACCAGGTTTCAGACCTAGTTGCTGCCTGAATTCAGCCTGGAAGGTAGAGTTCTTGGCTTGGGATCAGGAACTTTAGTCATGTTCCTTCAACTCTATTAACTGACAGCCAAATGTGGTTTTTGTCTTAGGAAGCAGAGCAGCTCTCTGGGTGCTTCAGGAGAATGGAGGCATAAACATGGATTTGATAACATTGGTGGTTCTGTCAAAAGTCATGAGATGATCATGGGGAAAATTTTACCTTACCTTTGAATATTGAAAAAAAAGTCTTGATTATAAAGAAGCTTTAGCCAGTGCTTCTCAAACTTTAATGTGCTCAGGAACGACCTGGGTATCTTGTAAAAGTGCAGATTCTGGCTCAGTAGGACTAGGGTGGGGCCTGCAACTCTGCATTACTAATAGGGCACCCAGGTGATATGGACACTGCTGGTCTGAGGACCACACTTGGAGCGAAAATGCGTGGAGTGGCAGAGTTCT